CTAGTCCGTAGGAACCCTTACCTGCGGATTTCAAGTATCTTTATCATTGCCAATCATGGCCTATTTACAGTGGAATATACGCGGCCTCGGGTAATCGGAGTGAGCTTCAGATGTTACTCTCCCAGTTTTCCCCTGTTGGTGTTTGCTTACAGGAACCAAAATTACACTCTGCTGTTATCTCTCCCATCTCAGGCTATAATTTATTGTATTCTTCAGATCCTTTTCCTGATGGGTCCTTTAATGAAAGTGCCCTTCTTCTACGCACTGATATTCCGTACCATCAGCTATTTGTTCATACTTCGCTGCATTACACAGCAGCCCGTATCCACTTGCATAGGTGGTATACGCTCTGTTCTTTATATCTCTCTCCTTCTCGAGCATTATCTATTCCGGATATTGCCTTTCTTGTTTCGTCATTACCGCCACCGATTCTGTTACTTGGTGATTTTAATGCCCACCATTTCCTCTGGGGGGGGGGGGCCTCACTGTGATTCCTGTGGAATTCAGTTAGAGGCTTTTCTTGCCACCCACCCCCTCCATGTTTTAAATACAGGTACACACACCCATTTTGATCCTCGGACTCATACTCTCTCTTGCATCGATCTCTCAGTCTCCTCTTCCTCCACCACATTAGACTTCACTTGGTCTGTTCTCCCGGACTTACATGGCAGCGATCATTTCCCAATCATTCTTACTTCCCCTTCATATTCACCACCTCTTCGCATCCCACGCTGGCAATTTGGTCGGGCAAATTGGAACCTTTACTCACACCTAACTGTTTTTAGAGAGGTTCCTTCTTCGTCCTCCATCGATGAGCTTTTACACCTCTTCTCGTCCTCTGTTTTAACCGCAGCTTCTCATTCTATACCCCAAACTTCGGGCAGGCATTCTCAGAAATGCGTGCCTTGGTGGTCTCCTGCTTGTGCTCGTGCAGTACATTTGAAACGAGCTGCATGGGGCAGGTACCGGTACAATAGAGCCACAGAGAGACTCCTTGATTTTAAACAGAAGCGTGCGATCGCTCGCCGTGTCATCCGCGACGCTAAACGCACTTGCTGGCGAGATTATGTCTCCACCATCACCTCTGCTTCCTCTATGAGTGCAGTCTGGAAAAAAGTACGAAAACTGAGTGGTAAATATTCTCCTGACCCGGCTCCTGTTCTGCGGGTTGCCGGTGTTGATATAGCAAACCCACTAGATGTTGCCAATGAAATTGGCAATCATCTGGTCCGTATTTCTCAGGGACTCCATCTATGCCCCTCATTTCTTTCCTCAAAGTCTGCCAGAGAGTTAGCACCCTTGGACTTTTCTTCTCTCAGAGAAGAACAGTATAATGTGCCTTTTACACTTCAAGAACTGGAAGCAACACTCTCAGCTTGCCGATCATCGGCAGCTGGGCCCGACGACATTCATATTCGTATGCTACAACATTTACATCAGTCAGCCCTTGCAGTCCTATTACGCCTTTACAATCTTATTTGGTCACAAGGAGTTCTTCCACAGCTGTGGAAATCCGCCATTGCTCTCCCTTTCCGCAAACCAGGCACTACGGGACATGAAACCTCCCACTATCGTCCCATTGCTCTTACCAGTGCAGTTTGCAAAGTAATGGAACACCTAGTAAATAGACGTTTAGTGTGGTATTTAGAGACACATAACAGTCTCTCCACTCGTCAATATGGCTTTCGTAAGGGACGTTCTACCATAGACCCCTTACTATGCTTGGATACGTATGTTCGTAATGCCTTTGTGAATAACCACTCGGTTATTGCCATATTTTTTGACCTTGAGAAGGCATATGACACAACTTGGAGGTATAATATTTTAGCCCAAGCCCACTCCTTAGGCCTTCGAGGCAATCTACCATCCTTCCTTAAGAACTTTTTAACTGACAGGCATTTCCGTGTTCGGGTTAATAATGTGCTCTCCCCGGACTTTATCCAAGCTGAAGGTGTCCCCCAGGGATGTGTTCTGAGCACAACACTTTTTCTCCTTGCTATTAATGATTTGGCCTCTAGTCTTCCATCAAATATTTGGTCATCACTCTATGTTGATGACTTCGCTATTGCCTGTGCAGGTGCTGACTGTCACCTCATTACAGTTTCTCTCCAACATGCAGTCGACCGTGTTTCCAATTGGGCCACCACACGTGGGTTTAAATTTTCCAGCACTAAAACCCACCAAATTACTTTCACTAGACGCTGTCATCTCCGATCATCCTTTGTACCTCTATGGCTCCCGTATCCCTGAACGTGATACAGTCAAGTTTCTGGGCCTCCTCTTTGATCGTAGGTTATCCTGGAAACCTCACATTACCTCTCTGAAGGCAACTTGTCACAGCCGGCTGAACCTTCTTAAAACCCTTGCTCATCTTTCATGGGGAGCTGATCATCGAACCCTCCTCCGCCTACATTCCACCCTTATTTTATCGAAACTTGATTATAGTGACCAGATCTATTCAGCGGCATCTCCTGCTACTCTCTCTAGCCTTAACCCCATTCATCACCAAGGATTACGTTTATGCCTTGGTGCTTTTCGCTCTTCCCCTGTCGAGAGCCTCTATACAGAAGCGAAAGTTCCATCCTTATCCGATCGCCGTGATGCCCATTGCCTGCGCTACTATGTATGCTCTCATGATCTCCGCAATCCTTCCATTTATAGAATGGTCACTGATATTAGTAAACATTCTTTATTTGTTCGCCGCCCCTGTTTACTCTGTCCCTTCTCTCTTCGCCTTCATTCGCTCTTGTCTTCTTTTCAGCTACCACCTTTCTATGTACATGTAGCATCTCACTTTCCCTACCCCCCTGGGAAGTTCCAGCTGTTCGAGTCTGTTCTTTCTCCCTCCCTTGCTCGAAAGCCCAACTGTCTACAGTCGCTTCCCGCTCTCTTTTTCTTGACCACTTTCACTCTCATTCTCATGCCATTGCCGTGTACACAGATGGCTCTAAGTCTTCTGATGGCGTAGGATTCGCAGCAGTGTTTCCGGACAGCGTCGTACAAGGGCATTTACTATCTTCGGCTAGTATTTTTACTGCTGAATTGTATGCCATCCTTACAGCACTTATCCGTATTGCATCTATGCCTGTGTCATCATTTGTGGTTGTCTCAGACTCCCTTAGTGCTTTACAGGCTATACAAAAATTTGATACACCTCACCCCTTAGTCCTCCGTATCCAACTTTGGCTACGCCGCATCTTTACCAAGCATAAAGATATTGTTTTTTGTTGGGTCCCTGGTCATGTTGATGTACAGGGCAATGAACAGGCAGACACTGCTGCGCAGTCAGCAGTACATGACCTACCAGTTTCTTATAGAGGTATTCCATTTACGGACTATTTTGCTGCAATATCTTCCCACCTTCACACCCGTTGGCAACAACGTTGGTCTACTATGCTCGGCAACAAACTTCAATCTATTAAACCGAGTGTAGGTTACTGGCCGTCTTCTTATCACCAGTGTCGAGGTTGGGAGACTACTCTCTCCCGTCTTCGCATTGGCCATACTCGTCTTACTCATGGATATCTCATGGAGAGGCGTCCTGCTCCTCTCTGTGAGAATTGCCAAGCTCCATTGTCAGTCAGCCACATTCTGTTGGACTGCCCACTTTATCAACGAGCACGCAGAATTTACCTCTGTCGTCGTCTTCGCTCCGCTACTCTCTCTTTACCTTCCCTTCTCGCTGATGGACCCACCTTTCATCCGGACTCTCTCATTGACTTTTTGACAACAACTGACTTACTTCACAAATTCTGATACCTTCAGCCCTTTCTACTTCAATCTCTTGCTACCCTCTACCCCCGTACTATCCCGTGCCCCACTGTTTTCTGTAACCTGCTGATCATCCCTCCTCCTTTCTGCCATCCAATACCCTCGCTTCCTTCCCTACCCTGCAGCGCTGTATAGCCCTTGTGGCTTAGCGCTTCTTTTTGATTATAATAATAATAATAATCAGCATGAATAGTTAACAATAAGCCACCCAAGTCAGTTAGTAATAGTAGTGGCAGAAGCGGAGGAATCAGTGGTGGTTATGGTAGCAGTAGTGTGCATCCACTTCCACCACAATATCCAGCAGTAGAACTAGTAGAATCACTGATACATACAACTCTCTGGGGAGTAGTTGAGTAACAAGATTAGTTAAGTTAAGAACATTGCAAAAATGTAGGGGTAGTTTGTAGTTCATGCCTTCCATCCACTTTCAACTCTGCTGTAAATCCTATGTCATTTTTTCAATATGGTGTGGAGTTACCAGAGGTATTATTCAGAGGGCTGAGGACAGGTTGTTAAAGTGGTTTGGATATTTAGAGGAAGGAAAAAAATAGGTTTACTAGGAGGAAAGGAGGGGCTAGGGTCATCCTAGGAAAGGTTGGAGGGAGGGAGTAAAGGAGGATTTAAGTGCTAGGGGCTTGGACATTGAACAGGCTAGTGTTAGTGCATTAAATAGGAGTGGAAGCAAGTGGTTTTTATGATTTGAAATGCTGCTGGAGTGAGAGCAAGGTAGCTTTTGTGAAGGGATTCAGGGTAACCGGCTAGCCAGACTTCTAGTCATCGAAGTGGAAAATACAGTGCCACACTCTGAAAGAGGGGTGATGATGTTGTGGTTGAGAGTCGTCTGAACTGTGATGTTGGCATCCTTCTGGCAGGACAGTGATTGGGCGAGCAACAGTAAAAAAAGTTTTCCTCCTTATTATAGGTCACCTCATCTCAGTGGGAGATAGTCAAAGTGTTGAAAAAATATTCCCTCTGTTTCAAGTTGGCATTGGTCAGAAGGATTGGAGGGCAGGGAGAGAGCCTTCTGCTTTACTATCCTTGCCTCATACATCTACATAATACTGTACATAATAAGTCCTTAAAATAGATATAAGTAGATTGTTCTTTACCAACAGATAGCCTTGGTGTGAACTAAGTCCTCTGCTACCTGTTTTTCACATGATGTATTTGAGGAAGATGGCAGGTCACCATCACCTCTCACACCACTCTATGACTCTTATAATTGACAGGTTGATGATGTTGATGAATGCGAGGAAGATGGCAGTGATGTGTTTGAGGCAAGTGGCAGGTCAACATCACCCCTCACACCACCTTATGACTCACTCTTATCAACACTCAGTTGGGCAGATCAAGTAAGTTAGTCACCAGTTTAGTGTAGTAGTAATAGCAGTAGTTGTTGTCACCAAGTTATTTCCATAATTACTCTACATGGTGAGATGGGGGTTCCTTGATGCTGCTGAAAGGCTCCTGTTCCCATTCCCCAAGGTACTGTACAACACCTACAGGTTTAATGCTTCCATATTTATATGATTTGTAAATGATACTAGTTAGTAAGCTAGCAATTACATTATTTTATTGAAAAAGTAATTATTAGACATAATGTGGGATCAGTAAATTCTGAGACTGATGTTATTCCATAAGCAGTAAAGGTTGTAGGAGCTAAACACATTATGTGTGCACATGCTTGGTAATCCAAGACGTGATCTTCAAAAGGAAGTTTCATCATCAAAGTGGTATGTAGTAGGTGGGAGAGCGCATGTATTTATGTGATGCATTTGATGAAGATGCTCCTGTGCATCACAAATTTCTTCACAAAGTTCGGCAGTTAGTAAGGGGTTTTGTACATGACTGTTTTTCTTGGAATGTCTCAGTCATAAATTATGCCACTCTTTCTCCATACAGTGCACACTACCTGACAAGGAGGGTTCCACAAGAATTTCTATTGAGATCTGTCCTATTTAGGTATAATAAGTGAAAAACATAATATCCCGTGTATTCCTTTTTGCGTTTTTTTTTTTACCACACTGGCTATGTCCCATGAATATATGGTAACTCCCTCAAAAAAAAAAAAAAAATACATTCATCATCATTCATTTAATAGTTGTCTTGCCAAAAGTGTGCAGGCATCACCATTCTACTAATCCTCCATACTGTACCAACCATATACTACTTTTAGAGTGCAGGTACTAAACCTTCCTTCTCCAAGACTCAGGCCTAGCTAACTGGCTTTTTCCTTTTTGGCATGTGATAAATTAATGTGGAGATATCAAGGCTTAATTAGGAGATATCAAGATTGGCAGGACAATGAAAAACTTGAACTGAACTTACTGTAGGAGTGATCAAACAAGTGGCTACTGGAATCCAACCCCCAACTGATATATTTGTTGGGAAAGTGAAGAACCAGGGACCGAGCACACGTTGGGAACAAAGGCAGCAAAACATACTCAGTCAGAAGGACTTTGGGAAAAGCATAATACTGAACATATCACTAGAGGTACTTGTAACCAAAATCTAATGAATCAAATGTAGAATTGGCAAATCTCAGGAACCTCAAAAAAAAAAAAAAAAAAAAAAATCATTGTAATCGTATATACAATATACTGTTTTTAACCCTTTCATTGTTTCAGTCATATACAGTGGACCCCCGGTTAACGATATTTTTTCATTCCAGAAGTATGTTCAGGTGCCAGTACTGACCGAATTTGTTCCCATAAGGAATATTGAGAAGTAGATTAGTCCATTTCAGACCCCCAAACATACACGTACAAATGCACTTACATAAATACACTTACATAATTGGTCGCATTGGGAGGTGATCGTTATGCGGGGGTCCACTGTACATGTGTATACGTCTTATGTGCCAGTGTTTCTGATGTATTAATACGCCTAAATTTTAGCGGCTTCAAATCAAGTGGGAGAGAGCTAGTAGGCTCACATGTGAGAGAATGGGTCTGTGTAGTCAGTGTGCACAGTATAAAAAAAAATCCTGCAGCACGCAGTGCATAATGAGAAAAAAAACTGACCATATTTTTGGATTAAAACGCCGACTTTGAGATGTATTTTCATACAGTATTTATGGTTGTATTTTCGTTTTCTTGGTCTCATTTGATAGAATGGAAGACATATTACAGAAATAGATGATTTTGATTAGTTTCATCGAAGAACAGGAGCTTGAAATTGAGCTCAAAGTAGCAGAAATGTTCGGGTTTTGCCAATGTTCAAGAGTAAACAAATCACTCCATGCGTCCAATACACGTCAACTGGGGAGTCTAATATTCTTTCACAAGTGCAATGATGTTATTTATACCATTTTTACAGTAATGCAGTAATCTGCATAACAGTAAATCTTCTATTTTTTGTGTGAATTAAAATTCAAAATAGAAAGCAAGAGTAAAAGGGGCCTGGAATATCTGCATTGTTTATTCTGCACCCTATTTAGAAATTGGCATATTTTTTAATTTGCGTGAAATTGGCCAAATTGCCAATTTTTGACCACTTTACTGGGTAATTGAAATGGGTAAATGGGCAGTTTCTTGTGCTCAATCGACAGAACAAATGGAATTCTAAAGAAATAGCTATGAGTTTGGTTGACTGGAACAATGGAATTGGCCAAAAATAGGGCAAAATCGCTGATGCGTATATATCACCGACATCGCTAACTTTGCGAGAGCATAATGTCGTAAGTTTTCCATCAAATTTCGTACTTTTGGTGTCATTACCATTGGGAAAAGATTCTCTATCATTTCATAAGAATTTTTTTTTTTTTCGAATATTTTGCGACACAGGGAGACAATTTCAGAATTGGGGTTGTGGCAGTGAAAGGGTTAAGGCTCATCTTATTAGCCATCCTCCCTATAATGAGGATACCAACAGTGGTTGCCTAAGTTTTTGTTCTTTTTCTGTCATGTTCATTTCTGTGTGATACTGTAACTCGTGGATGCCTCTTTGTATTGATCTTGGATTTTCAGTACAATACTCGTGTATGTGAGCAAACATTTTCTGTGATAAAATTGAATAAATCAGAACTGATGAAACCAATCTGAAGCAGTACTCAGCCTTGCAACAGTGGAGACCATGTCTGACATCAATTGTTTGGTTAATACACATTAGCACAGTCATTCTTCCTACTGTGTGAGATTCATAATCAAGATTTTTTTTTTCCAACAAACCAGCTGCTTCCCACCGAGGTAGGGGGACCCCAGAAAGAAGAAACACTTTCTCCATCATTCACTCCATAAAGAAGAAAAAGGCACAGTATCAGTAATGGAACAATACATGTCATAAGCTCCTCTCTTACGTGCAGGTTAATTGTGTATTCACTCCATCATTGTCTTTCCAGAGGGGTGCCAATAATACAGTTCCAGTCCTCAGATATCCCCACCCCTCCTTCAGAGTGCAGGCACTGTACTTCCCACTCTACTTCCTGCATAAACTAGTGCAAGCTTGATTTTGAGCTACTGGTATTAACCCTTAAACAGTCCAAACGTATACGTATATACGTTCTCTTGCATAGCGCCCCAAACGTATATATACATTTCCTTTGTCATTCATTCAACATTGGCGCGATATGCCTGAGTCACCTAGACATGAGAGAATGGGTGTGTGCACTCAGTGTGTGCTATATGAAAAAAAAATTCAGATGCCTGGGTACCAAATGGTCTTTTTTCCTATTAAAAAAAAAAAAAAAATTTTCTCAAAAAATTTGGGGTGCTGCACGAGTGAACGTATATATATGTTTGGACTGTTTAAGGGTTAAGTACCTGTACTGCTCTGTTGTATTTAATATGATGTGCTCTTGAAGCAGCATAGTCACACTCTGCTGTACACATTTTTATTAGTACTATTTGCTTAATTATGGATTATATAGTATACCAGTGATCTTTTTTGTTAATTGCTCTGTTATTTTCACTTGATTTAACTGGAAATAAATAATCACAATACAGTGGAACCTCAGCTTACGAACGCCCCACCATGCAAACTTTTCAGTATATGAACAGTTGCTCGGTTAATTTTTTGCTTCTGGATACAAGCGAAATTTCAGGATGCAGACTTCCTCCTCAAGGGAGGTTCCTTGGTGAGGGGCTCTTGGTCTAGGGAATTGGATCTGTGCTCCAGTTCCCTAAATTAATAATGATAATTATTATTATAATACGTACGTACTACCACTACTACTAAATACAGGTACCATCCGACTTACGACCAAGTTTGGTTCCGACCAACCGGTCGTAAGTCAAAATGGACGTAAGTCGAACCTTTGAAAATTGCCGACATACTGGGTAGGGCATAATGTCAAACGTTTCCTATATAAACTACCTACATAATACTGTAATGTAATGTACAATCATTATTTCATTCTTTTTACCATAATTTACTTTTATTGTTATAGTATTTTAATTATTTATGTACTGTATATAATGTATACATGGTAGTGAACTGTATTGTAAATTTTACATCACATACAGTATCATATGTTACTGTTGTCTTTATGTATTGTCGACACAGTAGAATGGGAGAATACCACTGGTAGTGTCATCCTGCCAGAATGTAGTATAACCTATACCCTAAGTAAAGAGAAAGAACTCTGGAACATGTGTAATACGTATCCGGCTCGCTGGCTGACTGGCCGGGTGGGTGGGTGGCCAGGTGGATGGATGGGTGGTTGGCTGACTGGCTGACTAAATGTGGCTGTCTCTCTCTCTCTCTCTCTCTCTATCTCTCTATCTCTCTATCTCTCTATCTCTCTATCTCTCTATCTCTCTCTATCTCTCTCTATCTCTCTCTATCTCTCTATCTCTCTCTCTATCTCTCTCTATCTCTCTCTATCTCTCTCTATCTCTCTCTATCTCTCTCTCTATCTCTCTCTCTATCTCTCTCTATCTCTCTCTCTATCTCTCTCTCTATCTCTTCTCTATCTCTCTCTCTATCTCTCTCTATCTCTCTCTCTCTCTCTCTTCTCTCTCTCTCTCTCTCTCTCTCTCTCTCTCTCTCTCTCTCTCTCTCTCTCTCTCTCTCTCAGGTACACGTAAGTAATCATACATAGTATAAATTACCTAGGATAACCCAAAAAATCCAGACATAGTGCTATACAGTGGATCTGTGCTCCAGTGCCCTAAATTAATAATAATAATAATTATTATTATTATTATTATTATTACAATAATACATTTCTTTCTTCTTTCTTTCAACACACCGGCCGTATCCCACCAAGGAGGGGTGGCCCAAAAGGAAAAACGAAAGTTTCTCCTTTTACATTTAGTAATATATACAGGAGAAGAGGTTACTAGCCCCTTGCTCCCGGCATTTTAGTCACCTCTTACAACACCCATGGCTTACGGAGGAAGAATTCTGTTCC